AATGAAAAAAAGGGCAAAATGAAATGGGTGAAAAATTTTTTAGAAAATAGTAAAAATATATTTTGTATCAATTTATATTGTATGATATATGTTGTACAATAAATGAACGAGGCATTTCTATAAATTAATCACGATACTATGCCGTAATTCACGCTGTTTCATCACAAAAAATCACGGTATTCTACCGTAAAATAACAGCGTTTTACCGTGATTTATTTACGGTGTTCTACCGTAAAATAATCATGGTACAATAACGGCACATATGTAACGGTATAGTACCGTGATTTTCACAGTAAAGTTTTACAGTGTATGTTATAAGCTATAAAGCAAGAATGCTATATAAAAATACTATCTTTAATGCCTATAAAGTTCGTATATAGATAACTTTGCGTATCTATGGCCTATATGTATATATATTTTTATATGTATATATATTTGTAACTATTCTATGCAACGGTTTATATAATTATTTATCGAAACAGATCCAATTCAAAAGCGAATAAACATTTACAAAAAATCAATGAAAAATAATTCATTTAAAGCGTTTTGATTCCAGCGGTTCTCTACGACAAGACCTCAAGGACTTCTTCGAGTTTCCGCATTCTTTATTCCTAATTTTTATTGTTATATTTATTGTCATATTTCTATTGTTGACGAAATCTTTATTGTAAATACTATTTATTTCTTTTTTATGTCTTACGTTTTATTCACAAGTTTTAATAGAAATTGTAATAATGATTGTAATAAAGAATTAAAAAAAAAAAATTAAAAAAAAAATTAAAAAAAAATGATAATATTAAACATTTAAGATGCATTATTTATGTTATAATATTAGTTAAACATATTGTTCAAATACAACGCGTTGCTTTACATACCCGCCAACTTTGAATTTATGATTTTATCGGCTATTAAAACCACGGCTGTTAAAATCAAGGCTGACCTCGATTTCAATTTTTTTGTTTTGGTACAAAACAGCTAATATATTCATATAAACGCAATTTTAAAACTGGCTCGTTTCCGGGCTAACTCGACAAACGGGTTAGCCCTTGTCCATATAAACAGGCCCAAAGCCAATAAAATGATTTTATTGATAAAAATAAGCATTAAATCAAATGTAAATTGAATTTTAACGGTAAACTCGAGTTTTTAAAATGAAATACAAAAAAGTATAAATATCTACTCTTTCCATTATCGCTAGATCGCTTATAGTCAAAAATGCAAAATTTGTTTATATATTTTTTATAGATTGTTAACAGATATTATAAATATATCTGTAATATGTCATAATTAAACAATACATTTAAATAATGGTATTTAAAAATATTGCTTTTCGCAAAATTAAAGCTTCAAAAATAAAGTTTTAAAGTAATGTTTTCCTTTTAAGTTTAGAAAAGCAAAGATTTTTAAATTATTATGTTTCATACGTTTTATTATATCGTTAAATAGTAAATAATGTTATCATATATATATATATATATATATATATATATATATATATATATATATATATATATATATATATATATATATATATATATATATATATATATATATATATATATATATATATATATATATATAACAATAATAATAATAATATAAACACTGTGACAATTGATGAAATCATTTGTAGAGCATAATAACAGAAGATGTTATGCTATATAACAGCTATAAATGCTTGTATAATAAATAGTATTGTTTACTTTTTAATGTATATAATTTTTATTAGTGTTATTTAATAAATAATCTTTTCAATTATTTGATTTATCAAGTTTATTTTTTATTAATTGTTATCGATTCTAAACCATTCCAAGCTTTTACAACTTTACATTAAAAAAAAATTAAATCTAGCATTACTCTTACAGTATGCCTTTGTTAACTTTTGGTTATAACCAGGAAAACTGTAATGATTTTAATGAGCTTTACATATTGAGTCATTTATCCAATTAATTTCCTCATAACCTTTTTGTATTTTATATTGAAAAATTAAATCTCCTCGTAAACGACACTCTTCTAGTGTTTATAATTTCATTAACTGTAATCTTCTTTAACATGGGTTTTTTTTTAAGCTGGTACGAGTTTTGCTGCTTTTCTTTGCACTTTTTCTGTAATTAAAATGTCTTGTTTCAGATAAGGATACCATGCATGAATAGAATATTCAAAATGTGGTTTTACAAATGTTGTATATAATTGTTTTACTATATTTGAATCAAAATATTTCAAAGTTTGTTTAATAAGAGCGAGCATGTGATTTGATTTTCCGACAGCTTTAACAATGTGTCCATTTTAAATTAGATTACATCATTACTCCTAAATCCCGTTCTACTTCTGATGTTGCTAACATATTATTCTATTGGGTTTCAGAGTCACACATGGAATAAGTTATACATGGATTTTTAAACCCAATGTGAGTAATTTTACATTTTTCATAATTGATTTTTAATAACCATAATGATACCATGTCATAAAACTATCAATATCTTGTGGTAATTTATTTGTGTGTATATGATTATCAGATTTTATAATTTTTATAATTTTATTTTCATCTGCATATAGTTTAACATGATTTTTTACTGTGTCTGGTAGATTGTATGTAAAAATCAAAAATAGAATTGGCCCAAGAACAGAACTCCACTCTCAACTTTTAACCATTTTGATAATCATTCCCTTAAAATTACTTGTTGCTTTATGTTATATAAATATTCTACTATCCGATTAAGTATTATTGCATCAATACCATATGATTTAAACTTTACCATCAATCGCATATGAGGTACTATTTCAAATGACTTTTGAGAAATCTGTATACATACATATATATATATATATATATATATATATATATATATATATATATATATATATATATATATATATATATATATATATATATATATATATATATATATATATATATATATATATATATATATATATATGTATATATATATATATATATATATATACACCTAGCATATAGATCAGTAAATGCTTACTCTTTTTGCTTACCTTTCTATGACATACAGCTTTTAAAGAAAAAGAATGAAAAAAATAATTAATAATAAAAGAAATTATTGCTGTTCTAGCCAAAACGCATAGTCGGCACTCTCGATCTAGTAGCAGGCTACAAGTTAGCTGATGTATGTACTGAAGCATAAGACAACAGGTTATTTTAGTAAGATGTCTGAATTGTCTATTTTGGATTTGTTGCTAGTGTCTTTTTATTATAAAAAAAAAAAAAACCTTTAAAAACACAGACTAGTAAGTTGAAATAAATATTGTCTAAAGTCAGATAGTTGGTTGAGTGATTTCAAATCAGTTTAAAATAAAATTCTATAAAATTGGTTGAAATTAAAAACATCATAAATTGATCAAAAATAAAAACTAATAAATTCGATTGAAAACAATTTAGGTCTCAGTAAGATATCTAAAAATTAGTTCTACTTTTTGCTAGATGTTTTTTTTTTTTTTTTTTGTAGAGCAAATTAGTAGGTTAAAGATTTTGTAGATCTAATTATCTTATACGACAAATAGCTGTCTTGTGCGCAAAGAACGCGCATAAATCAAGGCAGTAAACAAGAAGCAATAGCTCAATAATAATACCTTGTTTTATATAGTCAGTATAAAGGTGTTTTAACTGCATTTTGTGCTACCATTGATTAATTTTGATATTGAATCATATTAAATGAAGATTAGATGTAGATATCAAAAAAATATTTTCAAGAAAAAAATAGGATTCTAAGACTTTATTGATATGAAAATGAATTTTTGATAAAATGTTTTTTTAAATTTTTATTACTATACTACCTCCTTAAAAAACTTGCAAAAAAAAAGTTATGAGGGGTTTATTATTTTTACTGTTGTTTCAAGACACTGTGCAATGTTTATCATTTACACGCGATTTGCCTTGACTGCCCGAAAATCCAAGTGTTATTGCTATTATTTGCATCAAAAAATTGTTTTTGAAGTGTATTTAAGAAACTTATTATTTTGTTTCCGGTAAAATTTTGAACAAAAAGAGTTTAAACAGGTAGTTATTAACACAAGAACAAACTTAAATGCTGTGCTTAGCTACTTAAAAACTGTAGTTAACTAATCACATCGTTGCTGTTTATTTATAATATGATTCAATTTTGTCGTTTACATTGCGAATTTTTTCAAGGGTGCAAACTTAATACCCTTAAAAAGAGTTACCTTTGGTACGCCTAAGTTGGGTGTTATATTTATGTTGTATTTTGTGAGTATGTTTTATGCCTTTTAAGCTCTATTGAGTGATGCTATGCCTTATTTTTTTTCTTTTGATTTGTTCTATTTCAACCTGTGATTGCTATTAAGTGTAAGTTGTGTTAAACAGCTAAAATTTATTTAAATAGAACTTATATTTAGGTTTATAAATATTTTTCTCTTTAATTTTACCAGCAAAAATCAGTTACTTCCTATTATTAACTTTGTTTCAAACACAAAACTTAATTTCTAAAGACTTACCTTAAATTAAAATTTTAACTTGCCATAAATTAAAATTACAATAAAAAAGTAAATTTAAAATTCAACATTAAAAAAAAAGAAAAAAAAAGAAAAAGAAATTATTATTTAAAAAAATTCATGAAAATATATTTAATTTATTTTTAAAAATTTTAAAATATTTAATTTTTTAAAAAATATTTTAAAAAGTTTAAAAATAAATTTAAATGTAAATTTTTAAAATAAAAACTGAATTTTAATTGAAAAAAAAAAAAAAAAGAAAGAAAATGTTTATGATTCAAGAACAAAATAAATTAAATATTCTTTTTTGAATAAAAGTAAAAAAAATTTTATTCGTTTCAGATAATGCAATCTTTGTGCATGTATGAGTTGTTGTTCTCATTTAAGTTGCATACTATAACATGAATTAAATTAAATTAATGCTCAATTAAAATTCATTCTATAACATAAATACACTCATGTAAGTTACGTCGATTCGTTTTGTGATTGTTCCTTTAACAAGAATAAGCTCACGTAAATTATGTCGATTTGCTTCTTGATAGTTCCTTCGTATTGTAGTTTACACGATAATTGACGTGTTTTTCTTTAGAATCAGAAAAATAATTTCTTAAAAATTTACAGAGTAATAACTTTTTGAACTCTAGACGAAATGTTCGACTCATGTATGTGTAAAGAAAAGGATTAACTGTAGAATTTGGGTACGTTAAAAAGTTGCAAATGTCAAATGATTTGTTATAACATGTTGGGCACATGCCACCCAAAAGCCATTGTGCATTAAGAGGTAACCCAGTAATTAAAAAAGCTGATATTATGCTTGCAATCATACGCAATGCTTTTTTATGTCTAAGTATTCTCTTTCGTTTCTTTATCAAATCTAGATTTTTTTGCATATCGACAGTATTATCTGGCATTTCATCGGACAATGGAGCTGGCTGTTTCCACTTAGTCGTTTCTGCAGAAAATTTATTTTCAGCATTTATAGCATGGCAAAATTTAGGCACTTCATAGAGTTGTTGTCTAACAATAAAATACATTTTCCAGTAAGTTATAATTACAATTCCGAGCGGTAGAAAGTATCCTATTAATGACGTTGTAATAGAAGCGTATCTTTTAAAGTTAAAATCTTGAACTTTAGAAAACTGCTTGTAGCATTGTCTATCATCTAAATTGCTGCTCCTTACCTTGTGTTTATAAATGTTAATATATGGTACCCATATTATTACAGCTATTAACCACACTGTGAATAATTTAGTAATGACTTTTGATGTTTTTTGGTGTAATCGATGTTTCATTGGAGATCTTATTGAAAGATACCGATCAAAATTAGTTAAAACAATATGATTTATTGAAGACTGAATTGATACGTAATCTAAAACTAGTGCCACATTACAAAATTCTTTTCCCAGAGGCCAGTACCCTATAGGCATTTCCATAATGTTCATGTTTACAGGAAAAAATCCAATAAACTTATCTGTAAATGCCAATGAAAGTATTGGAACGTTTGATATGCTTCTAATATTTTCGTTTCTAAAATATGCCAAAAAAATCAAAAGATTTCCTGCTATTGTTATAACGCTAAGAAATGCACCACCAATCATTGCGGGTATATAAAATGACAACGGTTTAACGGATAGCAATGAACTAACAGAAATAGGAGTAGTACTATTAAAAAATGATGTTGGCCTAGCAGTATATAAGGCATTGTTTAACAACGTGTGCAATGAAGATTTCATTGTTGGATCAAATTATCTAAAAAATTAGAAATATATCAAATATATATGTGCTATAACTAATTAATATTAATTTAAAATAACAATTATTTAAAAGATACTTATTTGAGAAATATTTTTTTTCTCCTCAAAAACTCGAAAAGGTCTTAAAATTACTCAAATACAGTTAAAGTCTTTGAATTGGAAAATATAAATGCAAAGACTTAAACTTTTTTTAACTTTTATTTTTACAGTTGTCTTCGTTCAACTATTTTTCTAATTACTTTTTTACTAATTATTTTTTTAAAGTTTTTTAACTTTTAAAATTTACTTACACTCCTCCCTATTCAAGTTATTTTGCGCACAATTAAAATACAAAAATTCTGAAAAAAATACGCTAATGATGTGGGATAAAAGCGTCTACTTTTTAAAGAGTTTGGGAAACAAAAGTTATAACTTTTATATTTTTATAAAAGTTATATCTTTTATATAATATTCTTGAATATTATTTCAAATGCTCTGATTACAAATTAGAAATAACAACTAATTATGTCAATTATACTGAAAATTATTTACAATGATGAAACTTTAATTCGCGTTTACAAATAAGTTGCTTAAAATGATAGAAGCAATATTTTTTCTTAAGAATACGACAAAAATAAAATTTTAAAACAAATTTTAATAAAGGATTTAAATAAACCATGTTTTGTATAAAATAATTAAATATGTGAGTTATGCGTCGCGAGACGGGGGCTAAAGAAGCTTTTTCTCTGGATGCAAACAATTAAAGCTCAATTAATGATTTTAATTTGAATATATCACTATAGATTAAAGCCCCATAATGATTTTAACTTAAATATATATTTTAATTTAAATATATAATTTATTTAAAAGCCCCTTTAAAACGATTAAAGCCCTTTAAAAATCTGCAGATTTTACTTTCTTAAAAACATTTTTGCGGTTTTAGCCGACATTCTGATAAAACCGCTCACTTGAGAAAACATTTTTAAAATTTAAATTTTTTTTTTTAAACACAGCTTATATTTAAAAAACGATAAAGATTTAACAAATTTTTGCTACAAAAAAATTTAATTCCAACTACATATCTCTTTGGTGGACACATTGAATTTAATGTGTTGTTAAAACTAAAACTTGTAACTAACTAAACTAAAAAAACCGTGACTAAAATTAGTCGAGTAACTTTTTAGTTAACTAAAAAGTTACTCGACTAATTTTAGTCACGATTGTTTTCAATCCACCCGGTGGATAACCGGCTAGCGAATAGCTAGCTATAATCGTTACGATAAAGACTAAAAACTAATTTTAGTTAACCAAAAAGTTAGTCGACTAATTTAAGTTAGCTAAAACGTTAGTCGGGTAATTTTAGTTAACTAAAAAATTAGTCGACTAATTTTAGTTACGGTTTTTTTAGTTTAGTTAGTTACAAGTTTTAGTTTTGGTCACAACACTAAACTCAATATAATCGTTATGATAAAGCAATTTGGCCACGAGGATCGCTAGCTTTTTTAAGTTAGCGAAAAGCTATCGATTTTTAAAGGGAGCGATTTGGCTTCGAGGACAGCTAGCTTAGTAAGCTAAAGACTCACAGGCTATTGTAGCTACCGTCATACCGTAATAAAATCGCAATCAAAAAAATTTTGGTATGTAGCTATCAACTAGCTATAGATTTGAAGATATTTTGTAGCTAGCTACAAAGCTACGATATGTAGCTAGCGACACATTGCTACAAAATCGCAATGTTTAAATTTCAATTATTGTCATAATTATAATAGACTCAACACTAAAAATCGAATTTTTAAAGATGTTAGAGACATTAGTAAAGAATAAAATAAGAAAAAGAATATCGCTTGAAAATTGCTATAAAGCTAGCTAGTCGCTCGCTCGTCGCTAGCTCATTTCCCACCCGGTAACTAAAGAATTTTATAAATATATAATATAAATTATTTGGGTTCATCATATCATTTCTATTAGAATTTTTGAATAAGTTTGCTAATGCGTAATCATTTTACCGCATAACACCCCAAAAATAAAAAATATCAAAATTTTCTTTCAATTTTCAATGCCGAAGGTTTAACGAGACAGTTCAAGAAAATATTTCATAAAAATCCAAAGAGTAAACATGGTAAAACACAAATATCTTTAGAATTGAATAAGCTACCAAGACCATGGCAAAGGGGTGAAGGGATGCGGTGGTTGGTTTTGTGTGTGACATCCCATCAATGAACTTTTAGCTCATTTAGTCAGCCAATTTGACTTTTTTAGATAAGTAAGTTGGTAAATGTAGATTTTCAAAACAGTTACTTGGTAAATTTAAAAAAAAAGGATTTTTTTTTTCCTTTTTCTAGTCAGCTAAAATTTTAACGGCACTCTCTACGTTTAACCTACTTGTGCCAGCCCTGTAAGCTACAGTATATTGTGCCAGCCCTGTAAGCTACAGTATATTGTGCCAGCCCTGTAAGCTACAGTATATTGTGCCAGCCCTTTAAGCTACAGTATATTGTGCCAGCCCTGTAAGCTACAGTATATAAAAAATTCGTTTTTATTATGTGCCACTTTTTTGAATCCAAATTATAAAAGTTTTCAATTCTTTGAAAAGTACGAAAAAAAAAACTTAGAATGCGTTAGAGAATTTTTGTCGGAGTTTCATTTGACAAAAAAAGTTTGTGATAAAATTTCAGTTAAAAAGGTGACAATCAAATCAAAAAAATTTAAGCAACCGTTTGACGATGAAGATGATGGTTCCGGAAATGATAGTGACAAAATAATAAATTTAGATTTAAAAAAAGAAGTAAGTGGTTGTATAAAATTGTCAGCAAATGAGCAAAATGTTTTTATACTTTTGGCAACAAAATCAACATGTGTTTCCAATATTGTATTGTATTTCAACAATGATTTTATGTACACCTGCTATCAGTGCACCGGGTGAACGTCTTTTCTATGACGCATTAAACACTTTGTATGCAAAGCGAAACAGAATGACAACTGAATGTTTTCAAATGATGTTTTTGTACAAAAATTCGGAATTTTCTAATTTAGTTTAAATTCATTAAATTTAATACTGAAGTTTTTTCTTGTAATAAGTATTTTTTAATACATTTTATTGTTCTTAAATAAATATTATTAAATTTAGTATTCGAACTCTTTTGTATGAAACTGATTTTTTTTTTTTTTGTTACATATATTTAAAAGTGCTTAAAAACTACGTATTGCAATACGTAGTTTTTAAGCACTTTAAAATACATGTAAAACCGGGTCAAAACAATTATCAATTAAAATTCATTACCTTTTTTGTAATATTTATTTTTATAATTTTTCATTAGATAGATATTGAAAAAAATACTAAACAATATATAAATAAATATTAAAAAAAAAAAAAATCAAACTATTAAAATAATAAAGGTAAAAAAAAAAGTTTGCGGTTTTAGGCAACATTATGATAAAACCGCACACTCAAGAATATTATAAAATCACACATTAATTTTTTTAATTTTTAACTTTTTCTTTTTTTTTAAACATATTTTTGAACACATTTTAATTTAAAAAACTAAATTAGTTTTTTACATTTTTGAAATAAAAAAAAAATCAGTTTCATACAAAAGAGTTCGAATACTAAATTTAATAATATTTATTTAAGAACAATAAAATGTATTAAAAAATACTTATTACAAGAAAAAACTTTAGTATTAAATTTAATGAATTTAAATTTGTAACAAAAAAAAAATCAGTTTCACACAAAAGAGTTCGAATACTAAATTTAATAATATTTATTTAAGAACAATAAAATGTATTAAAAAATACTTATTACAAGAAAAAACTTCAGTATTAAATTTAATGAATTTAAACTAAATTAAAGAACTCCAAATTTTTTAAACTTTTAAATCACTTTATACACTATTCAACAACTTATATTGCGGAAATTGCATTTTAAAATGCAAATACCAATCTTCCTTTTAAATTTTGCAAGTATCGCCAACCGTCGAACAACTATACTCTGAAAGCAATAAATATATTCATAATAACTTATATAACGATTACCTTTTGGGTTTATGTCAATACTTTCGCCTGCCTAACTGTAGTGTTTGCGGGTTATAATAGTCGGGAGAGAAGACGAAACAATAAATGTTCGTTTATTGCGTATTGTATTTGTTGTGGTGGTTACGTTAACATTACAATAGGTTTGGGGAGAGTTAATGAAGAGAGGGAATTTAATGCTCATTTATAATTTATAATATTTTTATATCTTCTGTATTTGGAAGAACTAGAATGCCAAATGTTTCTACTGCATTGTTTCTATTTTTTTTTTACTGTATTTTTCATTCTACTATATTTTGTTTTCTGTTTTTTTTTTTTTTTTTTTTTTTTTTTTTTGCAAATAAAAAAAGTTGCAAATAAAAAAAGCTTTTTTACCATAAAAATTTCACTAAAGTAGGGCTTTTTTTTATTTAAAAGCCAAATTTCGGTTTTAACCGACCAAGTCTCAAATTTAACAAATTACCGACAAAACCGACAGAATGTTGTAAACCTGGGAAGGTGCCCACACCCCAGTCGGTACGGCCTCGGCAGGGGAGATTATTTTTGATGTGCAATTATTATTGCACTCTACCTAAAGGATGCAGCACATAAAATATATAAGTTAAACGTTCAATAAGCGTACCAAATTTGATTTAATTGACTAAAGGGCATTATTTGTACATTCCATGCTGATTGGTTGTTTATAAACAGTTGCAACAACTTCATCGGCAGTTGTCTCTGAGCTGGGAAAAAATAAAAATAACTGAATTTTGCTTAAAACATTTTTTTTGAATAACAGTTTAGTTCAACGGGGCTCTAAGATTCACAATGAGTAAAGTGTTTAATTACGATATAATATCTATCGCCTTAATAAAGCTTCCTCGTGTGTAAAATTTTTATGCGAAAGATTATTTCTTTATTCAAGCACTAAATCTTGCTTTAGTCAACTAAATTTAGTTACACTAAATATTTAGTTGATTAATTTGAGTTAACTAAAAAGTTGGTCGA